AACTCTGGCAATGCGGAAAAAAGTCACGATACGTCGCGACATGTCATGTGATGCGGCAAGTTTGACACCCGTGTTATAGCTGAACCATATTATGACTCAACCCGTGACCTGCTCATGTGATCCCTGACTGAGCTGCTACAGCTAAATGACATGGTTAGTAGTCATCAGAAAATTTGACAGATCAAAGGTATTGATCTATTCAATGTTCTTCCTCTTCTAGTGTCCTGTGGCATTTGAGGAAGTGGCTGTATATTTCACCCAAGAGGAGTGGGACCTTCTGGATGAGGAACAAAGAGTCTTGTATTACACAGTTATGAGAGAGAATTTTGAGAACGTGACCTCTTTAGGTAAGGTTCCCATTCCTGTAAGAGCATGCAAACCTTTCTCAAGGTTTCAGGTTGACCCGACCAAAAGATCAGCTCCTCTTTGTCTATAAAACAGTTATTGCATATTTATGTAAAGTCATCCTCCTTACTCTGTACCAAAGGATTTTTAGACAAGCTCTGTTGAATCCATTCCATATCCCCAGGGGTTGTTCCTACCTCGTGCTACATAGTCTAAATCAGGGGTAGGCAACCTTGGCTCTTTTATGACTCGTGGACTTCAACTCCCAGAATTCCTGAGCCAGCCATGCTGAGGGGAAAAGGGAGAGGTTTCCAAGCTGAGCCATGCTGGCTCAGGAATTCTGGGAGTTGAAGTCCACGAGTCATAAAAGAGCCAAGGTTGCCTACCCCTGGTCTAAATGAAACTCATCATACTTCTGAAAATTAACTTGCCATTAATTACCCAGCATTGGCCAAGGAGGCCAGCAGGTGAAGCTAGAATGCTCAGGACTAGTTCTAAGAGCACTGGCTGTAAATTAGCATAGGTTGATTAAGAAAGAGGTGGACGTCAGGAACACAAATACACTTACAACTACAAGGGTGCTTGGAATTTTGGTTGTAAGTCATTGCACTTGTAAATTAAGGCACCACATGATTAGAAGTGTTTAGCTCTATAAAGTGAATCACTTCAGTTGTTAAGCAAATCATGTGATCATTAAACGAATAATGGTGTTAAGCAAATCTAGCATATTCAGTGGGCATTTTTTGCCATTTTCTGCTGGACAATGGAAAGAAAATTTGCAAACTGAGGTCACATAATCACTGGCTACTGCAACCTGTCTTAAATGCGAGCAGGTTGCCAAACAGCCAAAATGCAATCATGTGTCTCTGTGTGTGTCTGGGTACCTACAGCAGTTACAACTTTAAGAATGAGTCATGAGTACCTTTCTTGAAGTCTGTCATAACTTTGAACTGTTTTTAAAGAATCAGTCATAAGTTAAGGACTACCTGCAATGGATTAAATATTGCAGAAATGAAAATGTCTGTTGTATCACATTTCAGACCCAAATTCCAAATAGTGGTATTTTTTTCCATCATGAATGCTAAGGAATACGAAGATTAGTAATAATAATAATAATAATAATAATAATAATAATAATAATGATGATGATGATGATGATGATGATGATGATGATGATGATGATGATAATGTTGGAAGGGACCTTGGAGGTCATCTAGTCCAACCCCCTGCTCAGGCAGGAAACCCTATACCATTTCAGACAAATGGCTGTCCGGTCTCTCCTTAAAAACTTCCAGTGTTGGAGCATTCACTGCTTCTGGAGGCAGGTTGTTCCACTGATTAATTGTTCTAACTGTCAGGAAATTTCTCCTTAGTTCTAGGTTGCTTCTCTCTTTGGTTAGTTTGCATCCATTGCTCCTTGTCCTGCCTTCAGGCGCTTTGGAGAATAGCTTGACTCTCTCTTCTTTGTGGCAGCCCCTGAGATATTGGAACACGGCTATCATGTCCCCCCTAGTCCTTCTCTTCATTTGAGGAAAGGAAACCTGGCTTGAGTTAGATCCTTGAAGAAGACCATAGGTTTAGTCTTCAGTTAAAAAATATTCAGCAGCTGAGAATAGCACATACCTCTGTAGGAGAATCTGGAATGCCTTCTAACCAATTAAAGTACTTTCTAATTTGTGGTTTCTTAGATTTCTATCACAGGAACTAAAGAAAGGTTACTTGGGAACCTGTTTTGTCCCTACAACAAAAATAACCCTGTGTGGCAGGTTCAGCTGAGAGAGAAGGACAAATGCAAAGTTTCCTGAAGTTTCCATGGCTTGGGATGGACTTTAACCTGATTCTTCCCAAATCTAGTCCAGCACTTCAACCATACCACACCAGTAGATATGTCTAAGCTATTTGGTCCTTGGTGTTCTCTGAGCTTGGTTGTTCTCCCACAAACATCTTTGAGACAATCAACAGGGTCAGTAACGTTGTTGTGCAGCATAGGAAATGGTACCAGAGAAATAATGAAGAAAGAAACAATACTCTGATCTAGGCACAATCAAAAAAGAAAGTGAACTCCAACTAATCATCTATGAATAACCAGTGCAACTTCTCACTCTCGTGCACTGATGATGTTATCTTGCCTGGTAAATGCAGAAAAACATCCTAGTTAGCAAAACACCTGCATGTTACAAAGTGCCAGATGTTAGTCACATGACCCCCAGGAATATTGTGATGGTTCTAAATGCAAGCACTCCTTGTGAAGTTATTTTTTCAGTGCCATTGTAAGTTTGAACAGTCACTGACAGTGCACGAGGCAATTGTTAAAACTGAGGTCTTTCTGCATTGGACTTCTGAGCTAACTAATTACCCAGCCTTGCCCAGAATAATACACTTTGTTGTGTTAGATAGCTATAAAGAAAATCAATAATCTTCTCTTTTGCCGTGTTTCTTTTCCTTGTTCTAGAGCTCTTGATTTCCAAGCCAGATCCGAGTCTCCAGTGGGAAGAAGGGTTACAAATGGCTGATCTCCAGATATTCAAGGAAAAGGACTCTATTGTCAAAGGAGTTGTGAATTGGGAGGACATAACTGTGGTTGGTGAGAAGATCTTTCTTTCTTTAACAAAAGAACCCTTTTGTTATATTTTATTGGGTTATATAATTTACTTTTTTTTAATTCAAGCACTTTTGAATCTCCTGTCTATCAAGGCAATTGGAATATACAACATCTAATTAATCAGAATGTCTACCATATTAGGTTGCATTCTTTTCATACATAGGTTTTAGCTCTTGTGTAGGATTACATATTCCTTTTCTTTCCTTAGCATAGTTGTAACTGTTGCCCTGCCAATTTCATTACCTCCCACTGTCAGGCAGCTGGCTTAGCTGTAGGATATCAGATATGTGTTTCTGAGGGCTCATGTTAACCATTCAGCCATTCCAGTGGATGCCCTCTGCAGAATGAGGGACATTCAGTAAGACCATTCCAATTCATCAGCCCTCCTGCCATCAAAGTCTGTTTTAATTGGCCCACTGCCACTGCGATAGCTGTAAATCCCAGTAAGCCCCATCCAATAATGTTGTTTCTTTGTGTCTGCAAAGCCTCAGAAAGTTCCACACATTTGGATCACTCACCAAAAATGTTATTGAGGTGTGCCTGGTAATCAGTGGGAAAAGATCTTAAGTGGAGACACTCCATTGAGAGTATGATGGATAGCACAACAACCAAGGAGGACTTGGGTGTTGTTCCTAAATCAACCCTAGGTAGTTCCAGCATGGTAATATGAAATATAGCCTGCCAAAAATCTTCTGAGTGGTTACCACTCAAGGTAAAGCTTAAGGTCTTGATGGCTTTGAGACACTTTAAAAAAAATCTGTTTTCTTGCTTTAATTTTGATATTTCCTCTGGTTTCACTTCTCTCCTTAATTCAGAATTGCCAACCCAATATCCATATGAGACTTTCCATAATGGTAAATCTGACATGGCCTTTCACGTGAGAGGAGATGGAACAATTCGTGAGTTTGAGGAAAGGAGTAATCAAAGGCATTCTTGTCCAGGTGAGATGTTAGAGCAACTCTTTTTGAAACAAACTTGTGAAGATGCAAGTAGGAACACAATTCAAAAAAAAAAAAAAAAAGAGGAAGGATGGTCCATTTTCCTTCTACATTACGAATGAGCAAAACATAAACCTCATGGGAACAGAACATTATCAAAATTCCTGAAAGGATGTCAGGAAGAAGGAATGTTTCTCTATTAGACCGTTGTTGGGACTCTTACCCCAATAGCTGCTTATCAGATCCTTGTCCCACTTCACTGGTTAAAGCCACCTGGGAGGTGACATATATTTAGGTCCATGTAGTGGTTTACTTAAAGGAGGAGGTAGTACATGTCATTCCATAGATACCATCTCTGGACAGAACTCTTCTGGATCATTTTCATCCAATCTCCAACCTCCCCTTTTTTGAGAAAGTTGTTGGTTACACCTGAAGAGGCACTGATTATGCTACCGTAGTAGAGGCTAATCAGGCTTTAATGGGGAGAAACTGTTTTAAACTTAGCCTTAGCAAAACTGAGAGGCTGTGAATTTTTCAACCATCTGTAGTTCTGCCATTGTCACTGCATGCCCTTTCACAAATGAATGAGCATGCCCTTAAGAATTCTTGGGAGGTCCTTTCAACCATTAGTGGCCATCCTTTCCCATTCTTGTATCTTAGATATTTTTGAACTGTAGTTACCAACCTCTCATGCACCCAAGGCCACTGGTCTGGAGCGAGCTGGAAAGTCAAGTTAGGAAAAGTTATTTCCGTTTATATGTTGGCAGCTCCTGCAGACCTTACTTATTTTTTTAATGATAGCCAAAAAAATAATGTCTGTGCCAATATCATTTGTTGTCATTATGTTGCTGGCAAGGATAATTTTGCATTACACAGATTAACTACCAGGATCTTCCTATTGAAACCAAGACTGTACTTCTTTTGTCTCTGTCTTCAAAACTTTGTTGTTCTTGCAGAAAACCTGCCCACCAGAAAAAACATTCATCAGGAAGAGTTTGGAGCAGAGCAACTTCAGGAACCAACACAGTGGGATGTGTTCTTTGATCCCCAAATTTCTGAACCAGTGGAGGTCAAATCCAGAAAAAGGCAGGGGTTATTCCTGGAGCTGATACGAGCTTCTCAGGCTGACGAGAAAATTCCCAGCAGTAGCTCCCAAGTAGGTTCTACTGTATCAAAAAGAAACTATCCCTGTTCTGAATGTGGGAGAAGTTTTGATCGCCGTTCCAACTTAATTAAACACCAGAGGATCCACACGGGAGAAAAGCCATATCCTTGTATTGAATGCGGGAAATGCTTTGACCAGCAGTCCAATCTAAACGTCCACCTAAGAGTTCATACTGGAGAGAAACCATATGGCTGTCCCGATTGTGGAAAACGATTTAGTATCAAATCACATTTACATGGGCACTATAGGATACACACAGGGGAGAAGCCTTATGAATGTGAAGATTGTGGGAAGAGTTTCCGTGTCAAATCTTCCCTAAATAAGCACCAACGAACCCATACAGCAGCTGCCAAGCTCTCCAGACCGTCTGAGATCAAATCAGAGGGTCCCCGAGCAATATTGCCAGAAGGGACACACGTTTATGCAGCTCCTGAAACAGAAAAAATAATTAAAATTATGAGTAGGAAGCCCCCTATAGAAATCACAGTGTCGAACAAGAATTTTTCCTGTTCTGAGTGCGGGAAAGGTTTTGATCGGCCTTCGCATCTTATTACGCACCAGAGGATCCACACCGGGGAAAAGCCATATCCGTGTGTTCAGTGCGGGAAACGTTTTCATCAGCAATCTAACCTTAATGTCCATTTACGTCTCCATACTGGAGAGAAACCTTATGGCTGTCCTGAATGCGGCAAAAGATTCAACATCAAATCCCATCTACATGGACATTACAGGATCCATACAGGTGAGAAGCCCTTTGAGTGTGAAGACTGTGGAAAGAGCTTCCGGGTGAAATCATGTCTAAATAAGCATCAGCAAGTCCACACAGGAGAAAAGCCATACAAATGTCTCTCCTGAGAAGAAAGTTTGACCTAATTAAACACAGTTCTCTCACGCTGGAGAGAAAAATTGCCTATGCTCTGAACTTGGAAAAATAACTTTTGCAATAGATAAAATCTTATTAAGCATGATAGAATTCACAGAGGAGAAAATCCTTGCCTGTGTTCCTTTTGGCCGAAATAAGCATCCATAAATTCATACAGAAGACAGGAATTATGGGGGGCCCATCTGTGGGATAATGTTCAGGAATGATTAACAGCAGAACACACACAGATAGAGATACATACACCATATATTTAGTTATATGATTATTTTTCAGTGAATTCCCTAAGGAACTCAATTCTTGCAAATGCTTTTATGGGATCAGAGAGAAGCAGTGTACATTTGAGACTTAAATATTGTGCCCTGAGACCATGACCATCCTCTGCTGTCCTGTAGTCCCCTGTTATTTAAAATGCCTTCTTTAATATTGGCTCGAAGGAAGTTAGTAAACAGTAGATATTCCATATAAAGTGGTTTATGCCACGCTGGCTGGCTTCCATTTTCCTAGGAATAAGTGGCATTATCTCATTGTAACCTGAAACTTAGTAATAGTTCTTAATGTTCTCTAAGAAAACTTCAATTTGACTATTAGAAAACTTTTAGGTTAATTATATATTTTGTTTCCCATACATGTATGGCTATTTTACTGAAGCTTGTCTGGAAATGACATGAGATGCTTCAGAAAAATATGTCCTCAATCTGGTAACTATAAAGCAGAAGCATTTAAGACTTGCCTTTCAAGCCCAGTGGGATTCAAAAGAGGATGGATGAAATGTGCACAAGTTGAAAAAACTGAACATTGACATATAAGGTATGTACCTTCCATGTCATGATACTGCTTTCTTGAGAAATATCAGTTGAAAAAAGAAAATGTTTTCCCTTGATTTCCTGAGTTTTCATTTCTGTTCCAGTCCATTTATACAACCTAATGACTGTAACAGCCTGGTTTATACATGAATCATGAGGGGTGGTGTGTTATGTGAACAGAAAAAGTAAGTTGATCCCACTAATTAGCCCCAAGAGACTTCATTTTCAAACCAAATTGCCCTAGGTTTTTGGACATAAAGTAGCCTGTGCACAAGAGCGTACACACATATACACACGGCAGCTAAGCTGTATTGCCTCAATAGCTGACTTGGAGATTAATATCTCTGCCTTCCATGGCAAAGTCTTAGAGTTGACTTTCAAGAAATCGATATTCTAGGCACCCCATCTTTATGGCTCTTGGCTTTCACCATGAGAACCACATAGAAGCTGTGAAAGGGGGAGAACTTAATAGCTAAATGGTCCAAGCTCCTAATGTTGCCCATAGTGGATTGGGGATGGTTATGCCCAGGGCTTTTTTTTCTCATAGAACGCCCAGAACAGAGTTCTGGCACCTTTTTTGGATGAAATCTTGTAAGGTAGGCAAGGCAGGTTGTATGACATGTGTGAGTTCCGGCACCTTTTTTTTTTTTTTTAGAAAAAAAGCACTGGTTATACCAAGGCAAGATCTCCCCTCCATCAAAACAGAAGCCCAGAAAGTCTTGGCCTCTCTGCCTTTTTGGCAGCAGTTGGGAGGACTGTTGGTGTAATTGCTACTAGCTAGACAGTTGGTGCGCGCCCCCCAGTGGTACATGAAATGGTGGTAAGTAATGAGATGCCAATCAGCAAGGTTGTATGAAAATGGTCACCAGGTCCTACCAATCTTTGCCCTGTTGAGGCTTGCTTGTCTTTGTAGTAATCCAGTGAGGAGCATTCACTATTATTTCCATTTTCTTGTTCTACAGCAGAGGTCCCCAACCTTTTGGGCACCAGAGACCGGTTCCGTGGAGAAAGGTTTTTCCGTGGGCCAGAGAGTGGGTGGTTTTGTGTGCTACCTGCATTCCACACATGGGGCTTTGCTTGTTTGTGCAGACCGGTTGCTGGCATGCCATGGACCGGCACTGGTCCACGGATCGGGCGTTGGGGACCCCTGTTCTACAGCATTACAGTCACATTGATACGTAAGAGTAAGACTAAAAAAACTTACGGTTGAAAAGTTTTAGTCCATTTCAACACGCTTTGCAGAACGGGTTCTTATTAATTAACGGTAAAAAATTACGATCAATTTAGACCCAAAAGGCGAACAGTGGACGTTATGACACCCAGAGACTACACCTTATTTCTGGACAATTCTATAGAGAACATCTGAGAGAGGATCTTTTTGCCTTATGGGTAGTCCTCATTTAACTATCTTTCATTCAGTGACCATTCAAAGTTACACTGGCCCTGGATGAATGGTACTTGAACCCAGTCCCCAAAGTTACGTCTTCTGCAGCACCTCCATGATCACATGATAAAAATTTGGGCACTTGGCAGCCCACCTCCACTTAGAACTGTAGGAGCACTTCAATTCCCCCACACACACCATTTCTATCCTTTTGATGGCTTCTTCCTGCTGCTGTTGCTGAAGTGCAGCCAGCCTAGTAATATGCAAGGCAGCTGCTGTCATGCCTGGCCTTGTTCCTGAGGCCACATGCTACCATTCTCCAAAAACTTGAGAACTTGTTTTCATTTGGAAAACAGCCTCAGGAAAAAGACCTACCATGGGCAGCAGGTGCCTTATGTAGGAAGGAGGTCAGCTGCATGTGGCAGGTCTGGTACAAGGCATGTCAGCTGGGGTTCTGCAGTGGGGTGGGTGGCTGCAGCATGGACTCGAAGTGGCACTCCTTGGGGGCAGTGGTGGCACCTGCAGTGCTGAGGTAGAGGCCAAGGGCAGCTGAGACTACTGAAACTCCTAGGCTTCTATGTCAGCCGGTATCCCAATGAAATCAGAGACACTGACACAAACTTATAGCTTTATATAAATAAATATATTTTAGATCTACATATAAACCAAAGATCATCAGGCAAACAGGAGCATTATGAGGTAAATCACAGAGCACACAGGGCACACAGAAAAAAAAAGGCGGGAAAAAAGGGAAACTCCCCCTCCACACCCATAGCAACCAATCACAGTGCAGATTGCCTCACGCAGGAACCAGCATGCAACCAATCAGCTGTAACTGTGTGCTCTGACTCACTGCACAGCCCCACTGCTCCAGCTACTGCATTTAAATATCTTAGCGCTCTACTTCAGCCCCAGCGCTGCCATCATTCAAGAGGAGGCAGTCCCTTACCTTAGTGAGGATTGAGACTGGAAAGGACCAAGCCAGGAATGGCTTGGATTGGGGTGGATCCTTGCCTAATGACATTTGGTTACCAATAGCAATGAGGACTGCCAGGATTTCCATTGCTAAGCAATGCGGTCATGTGACGTTGTGCTTTACAACTCCATCGTTTATCTGTGGAAATTCTAGTCCCGGTTATCATTGTTAACCAAGGACAACCTGTATACCTGTTATATGGAATTCTGATTTGTTGCCATGGTTGTTTTTCAGATGCTTTACTAATTGGTTAGAGTTTGTTTTTGCCTAGGAGACCGTACTAAACTCTAGAATGCTCATAAAAAAAGCAAAGAACAATAAATTAAAACTTTTCTAACAGATTCAGTCCTGGGACAACAATCACCTTGCTGATTACACCCAAACTGTTAACTGGCAAAACAGAATAAAAGCAAGCAAAACCAAAGAACAATTAACATTACATTCATCAAAAGGCACAACATGTTCCAGAGCCCCCAAAACCAAACTGAATAATTAGCACAAACAGTCCCCAAGAAAATGGCCTTTGGTTATTTCAGCTTCAGCCTGTTCTGTAAATTGTGGCATAACAATAGAAATGGAAAGCAGCTGACAAGTGATCCCACCTTTATTTCACACCTCGAAGGAAACAATTGGTGACTGGAGATTTCCTCCCTGAAATATAGGGTGCTCAAAGCCAGAGGTATCTGCAGGATTTGATTCATTTATCCGAATGATCAAAGCAGCATCGCGCTTTTAGGTGCACATACGGCTCCCAATAAAAAGACAGAAGGAGACGGGACGAATATGAGCCAGCAGTGTGCTGCAGCTGCCAAAAAAGCCAACACAGTGCTAGGCTGCATTAACAGAGGAATAGAATCAAGATAACGTGAAGTATTAATACCACTTTACAATGCCTTGGTAAGGCCACACTTGGAATACTGCATCCAGTTTTGGTCACCACGATGTAAAAAAGATGTTGAGACTCTAGAAAGAGTACAGAGAAGGGCAACAAAGATGATTAGGGGACTGGAGGCTAAAACATATAAGGAACGGTTGCTGGAATTGGGTATGTCTAGTTTAACGAAGAGAAGGACGAGGTGGGACATGATAGCAGTGGTCCAATATCTCAGGGGCTGCCACAAAGAAGAGGGAGTCAAGCTATTTTCCAAAGCCCCTGAAGGCAGGACAAGAAGCAACGGGTGGAAGCTAATCAAAGAGAGAAGCAACCTAGAACTGAGGAGAAACTTCCTGACAGTTAGAACAGTTAACCAGTGGAACAACCTGCCTCCAGAAGCGGTGAATGCTTCAACACTGGAAGTTTTTAAGAAGAAACTGGACAGCCATTTGTCCAAAATGGTATAGGGTTTCCTGCCTGAGCAGGGGGTTGGACTAGATGACCTCCAAGGTCCCTTCCAACTTTATCATCATCATCATCATCATCATCATCATCATCATCATCATCATCATCNATTATTATTATTATTATTATTATTATTATTATTATTATTATTAATTTTGGATGGGATCACTGCTGTTCATCTGTCTTCGTTTGACACGCACACGCCACTAATGCCTCGATGCCGGGGTTTCTCAATCTTAGCAAAACTCTCAAATGGGTGAACTTCAATTCCCGAAATTTTTAAAGTTGCCGGGTTGGGAATCGGTGCTTTGTGCCAAGCCAATAAAAAAAACCCGCTGTTCTCCGAAGGATGACGGGTGCAAAGCGGTTTACTGTAAATCAGCAGAGGCAAAACTAGGAAACGTTTCTTTCCTTTGCCCACGAGAGGGCTCTCGGATTTTTCTTGGCTAGATCCGAAGTACCTGCTAGCTTTCCTCTTCGCTGCCGAACAGCATGCAAGATTCCTGTTTTGTTTTCCGGGTTATTGGGAAGTTGCCGCGATTGTTTCGCTACTAGGCCGTCGTGTTTCAATGCAAGAAGGCCTAGCAGAGAAAAATCTCTCTTTCTCCTTTTTAGCTTAGCCCTAGAGTAAGAATTATTTTTCTTCTGCAGCAGCCGAATATTCGGCTAAAAAGACTTCTTGACACAAGGCTGGGCAAGTAGAAACCGGGGGGGGGGGGCTCCCCATCCTTCCGTCCGCCCATCCACCCCACCCCTCCTGCAGATCCATCTTTAGTTCATAGCCTCGCGGAGTCTCTCCCAGCAGCAGAGAAATTGGCCGGGTTGCAGGGCAGTCAGAGAAGAGGGTGGCGATGGAGGGATTGACAAGCACAACGCCCGGGGTCTCATTTGAGCCCCGGCTTTGCTAGCCAGCTTTTTTCTCCAACCCGGAAAGAGAGAACTGGACGGAGATGTATTTCTGTGTATAGGGGGGGAAAAAAAGATTTTTCTGCGATGTAAAATCTTTCTCTCTCTCTTGCAGACAGGAGAACTCCAAGCAGCATCGTCAGCAAACAACCGGCCCTTCTTGTTTGCAGGGGAAACAATCTAGCAGAATTAGAAGGAGATTGTGGTGACATTTCTCTTTAGAGAGAGCCAAAATAGGCAAAGTAGCCAGCGTGTCTCTGTGTTACTCTCTGCCCATAGCGCTCTGTCCCTTATGAAACTGCTGTTCTTAGATGCAGTTTTTTCTTCATTTTGCTATTTTTTCTTTTCAGTGTGGCTTATTGCTCAAGAAGTGAGATGTATTTTCCTTTTTCTCCTAAAACTAGTTGCAAGGTTTCCTTTGCGATGGACCCTCAGACTTTTCTGCTTTCCCAAGTCCCAGCAGAAGAACGGGTTGGTTTGGCCCCAGTGGATCAGCTCAGTTCCTTCCCTAGGAGAAGACGCATTTGGTCAGCCTCCAGGAAAATTTCAGAAGAAGTGAATACCCTGTTCAAGGATATTGAGGAGTACAATAGGCAGAGGTTCCGTTCTGATGCTCTTCCTTTCAGAGAAAGTCCCTGGCAGACTCTGTTCCAGCTGGGAGAGGCCGCTCAGAGATGGCTAAGACCACAGGACCGCACCAAGGGACAGATTGTGGACGTGGTCATCTTGGAGCAGTTTCTGCACGTGCTTCCTTTGGGAATGCAGGCTTGGGTGAGAGCCAGGAAGCCAGGTAGCAGCCAGGAGGCAGCTCAGCTGGCTGAAGCTTACCTGCAGCAACAGGTATTCTTGCTGATAAGAAATGGACCCCCTGATTCTTGGTCTAATGCTAGGAATGTTGTTATTCCTCTGACCACAAGCACTGGCCAAGCAAGAAAGGGTCTCTGGTGGGCTGGATTCTGAACCACCTGCAATAGGTTATAAATGGAGTGGGCAGTAGAAAGAGGGAAGAATAAAAACTTTGTCTCCCTTGAGATAGTTCCCAACTTTCTAGGAAAGCCTGATGTTACTTGGTGAGCCACAGATTTAACATAAAGATGTAAAAGTAAGACATTAACATAAATTCCAGTAGCTAGGCTCACACAAATTGTAATGACAAATCCTGGGTAAGAATCCCAGGAATATTGTTATTAAGCTATATGAAGACTTAATTACCTAGTTCACCTAATAAGGCAGTGGCTGGATTTCCACAGCTTGCTGAACTACAATCACAACCAAAAGTCCAAACAGTGAGTTGTGTTTCAATTGTAGGAGTACAGTTAAACCTCTAGTCTCCATCCTCCTGCCTTAGTGTGAATTAGGCAGGCCCATCTTCAATATTGTGTTGAGAATTTGAGCACCTGGGAGCTTAATATAAACTTTATATAAATGTGAATAAGGAATTACAAATTCAGGATAAAACAGGCATAATTGCTGAATATTTTTGCTATATAACTTTGACATAGTTAGCAGTCATCAGAATAACAGATCAAATGCATTACTTTGTACAATTTTGTTCCTTTTCTAGTACCCGGTGGCTTTCCAGGATGTGGCTATACATTTCACCCCAGAGGAGTGGGCTCTTCTGGATAAAAAACAAAGAATCTTGTATTACACCGTCATGCAAGAGAATTCTGAGAACGTGACTTCCTTAGGTAAGGGTTCCCATTCCTGCAAACCTTTCTGAAAAGTTCAGGTTGACCCAACCAAAAGATCGACTCCCCTTTGCTTATGTAACAGGCAAATTGCATTAGAGTATCCTGTCATACAGCATCACACTGCTTCAGACAGGAAGGCAGTGCAGAGAGTGGTGAGAATGGCCGAAAAGATCATTGGCAGTTCCCTCCCTCCCATCCAGGACATAGCACAGAAGCGTTGCTTGAGCAGGGTCCGTAAGATTATCTGGGACACTACACATCCTCTTCACGACCTGTTTTCCTTGTTACCTTCTGGGAGGAGGCTTCGTGGTATCTGAAGCAGAACATCCAGATTCAGCCATAGTTTCATTCCATACAACATTAACCTTGTGAACTCTCAAGCTTCCTCCTTCCGTTATATATTCAAGATGGACAGTATTTAATATTTATTTGCTACGTATATGTAGAGGTGTGGGCCTATACATATGTTGTTCATAGTATGTTTAGGTTTGTGTCATGTATGTGTTTCACTTTGAGAGCGGGCAACTAAATTTCATTTTTGATGTGTGCCATTGTGCCCACAGTAAAAAAATGACAATAAAGGTTATTTTATCTTATCTTTTAGACAAGCTCTGTTGAACTCTCTCCATATCCCCGCGGACTGTCCCTATCTCATGCTACATAATCTAAATGAAACTCACTATACTTTTCAAAATTAGGACTTGCCATTGACTACCCAATATTGGCCACGGAGGCCAGCAGTTGAAATCAATAAAGTGTGTGGAACATTGTTTTTATATATGATAACTGTAGTGAGATTATTATATTACACAAAGAGTGAAAGATTTGACTTACCCACTATGAAGGAATGAATGCATGGGAAGATGGTGACAGCTTTGATTAGAGAAAAGACATTCTCTTAGTTTAATAATGAGTGACATTTTTCATGAAACAGGAAAAAAATGGAAATTTATATGACGATGATTAGAAAAAATAGTTGATACCAAAATTATAAATAATGCTGTATGTAGTGAGAGAATAAGAGGTTAAATTACAAATGCTGTAAAAGAAAATGTGAAATCATTTATATATATATATATATATATATTCCTGCACTTCGGGCTTTGTCTTTTTCTTATCTCTTCTTTCCTTCTATTTTATTCTAAATATTAGTTTTTGTTAATTCTTATATTCTTTAAAACTGTAATAAATATATTTTTTAAAAAAGAAAACTAGAATGACCTGGACTACCTCAGCCAACAGGGGCTGGAAATTAGCATAGACATTGAAAAGGGGAAGATGTCAGAATACTAATAATGAATTAAATAGCCTAAAAAAAAGAAAATGTCTATTGGATTTCTATCCTGAGGCTAAAGACAGCTTACTTGGGCATCTCCATTTTAGCAACAACCCTATATGGTTGGCTGAGATCAGAGAGAAGAATGGATGCTAGGTCACTGGGAGTTTCCATGGCATAAGTGGATTTTAACTGATTTTCCCCAAGTCTAATCCATTACTTTTACTACACTATACTAATAGACAATTCTAAACTATTCTGTTCTTGGCGTTGTCTGAGCTTGGTTGTTTTCCTACAAACATCCCTGAGACAATCAACAGGTTTGATACCATTGTTGCATATTGCAGGAAGAGAAACAATTAAGAAAGAAAAAAATACTGTGATCGAGGCACAATCAAGAGAGCAGCTGAATCCCAATCAATCATCTATAAACAACCAGCATACTTCACACACTCATGCACTGATGACAATATCTTGCCTGGTAAATGAAATGCCTGCTGAAAAACAACCAGGTTAAGAGAAGTCCAAGAAATCAATAGTTCAACCTTGAGCTACATATCTTCTGTACTATAAGTAGTTTTTACTTGGTGACAATAATTAGAACCAGCAAGCCCATCACTAAGCAGCAGAGTCACTAAGCATAACACATGACCATGATGAATTTAGGACTTCAGCTCTAAAATAATAATAATAAAGTTGGAAGGGACCTTGGAGGTCATCTAGTCCAACACCCTGCTCAGGCAGGAAACCCTATACCATTTCAGACAAATGGCTTCTTGTCCTGCCTTCAGGCCTTTGGAGAATAGCCTGACTCCCTCTTCTTTGTGGCAGCCCCTGAGATATTGGAAGACTGCTATCATGTCCCCCCTCGTCCTTCTCTTCATTAAACTAGACCAGTGGTGGCGAACCTATGGCACGGGTGCCAGAGGTGGCACTCAGAGCCCTCTCTGTGGGCACACACACTGTCGACCCACTCCTAGGCCTTCAGCTGGGTTTTATAAAACCTTTGCACTTTAGGCCTCCGCTGCCGTGTGCAAAAAAAAAAAAAGGTTCAATCAATCAGTCAATTTTAACTTCTCGCGGGGAAAAAAAAAGATCTTGCAAAGCTGGAATTGGTTGATTGAACTTTTTAATCCCATCCAGTCTGCCGTTACCACTGCAGCCACGCCCACCCAATGGGCCACACACCCCAATGGGCCAAACCCAGCCAATGGGCCACACCCACCCGGCACCCGACGATGCATAAGTGGGTTTTGGGTTGCAGTTTGGGCACTCGGTCTCTAAAAGGTTCGCCATCACTGAACTAGACATACCCAATTCCAGCAGCCGTTGCTTATATGCTTTAGCCTCCAGTCTCCTAATCATCTTTGTTGCTCTTCTCTGTACTCTTTCTAGAGTCTCAACATCTTTTTTACATCGTGATGACCAAAACTGGATGCAGTATTCCAATTGTGGCCTTACCAAGGCATTGTAAAGTGGTATTAACACTTCACATGGTCTTGATTCTATCCCTCTGTTAATGCAGCCTAGCATTGTGTTGGCCTTTTTGGCAGCTGCAGCACACTGCTGGCTCATATTTAAGTGATTGTCCACTAGGACTCCGAGGTCCCTCTCACAGTTGCTACTATTGAGCAAGGTACCCCCTATACTATACCGCTCTCATTGGGTCATTAAGCAAGTAACTATGAGTTGAATAAAGTAACATCATGTGGCCATAACTTTCAGTTTTACTGCCAACTTCTCCATTGATTCTGCTTGTTGGAACCTAGTTGTGAGGTGCACAAATAGTGATCACATGACTGGGATACTACAATGATTATAAACATTGTCCACTTGTGAAATTCCTGAATGGTTGGGATGGGGATGGGGGCATTACACTGCAATGGCCATAAATATCAGGATTGGTCATCAAATTATTTTTTCAGTGCCCTTGTCACTTAGAACAGTTGCTGAACCTATGCTGAAATTCTGCTAACTAAATAACCAGACTGGCCCAGGATGTTTTATTCTATTAGATGGCTATTAAAAAAAATCAATAATTCTCTTCTCTTTTATTGTGTTTCTTTCTCTTGCTCTAGAGCTCTTAATTTCCAAATCAAATCCAAGTCTCCAGCTTGAGAGGGAAGAAGTGTCACAGGTGGCTGATCTCCAGGTGGTGAAAGAAAAAGACACTATTGATCAAGAGATTGTAAATTGTGAGGACGCAACTATGGTTGGTAAGAATTCTCTCTTTTTTTGACAAAAGAATCCTTTTGTTACATTTTATTGGGGTATATAATTTACTTTTTTTTAATTCAAACATTTTTAATCTGTCTACCGCCCAGACCCAGGGCAGTTGGGAAATACATCTAATTGATCTGAATGTCTCCAAGTACATAGGTTTTAGCTCATGTGCAGGATGATATATTCCTGTTCTTTCCTTAACATAGTTGTAACTGTTGCCCTGCCAATTTCATTACCTCCCACTTTCAAGCAGCTGGCTTGGCTGATACTAAATCAGAGACTGTTTCTGAAGGTTCACATCAACCACTCAGCCATCCTAATGGACACCTTCAACAGCCATTCCAATTCATCAGCCCACTGGCAAGGCCTACATTTTAATTGGCCCACTCTGGCTTCAGTAACTCTTAAGTCCCAGTAAGTGTAAATTCCACCCAATAAGGTAGTCTCTTCCGGGTCGGTCATCACATAAGGTACATCTTCAGATCTTGATGTTTTTAGACTTACAGAAGAAATATATTTCCCTGCAATGTTTCCAGTTTTTTCTCTGCTTCTTTCCTTAATTTAGAATTGCCAGCCCATGACAGTTTCCACAAAAGGAAATCTGATATGATCTTTCAGAAAGGAGCAGAGGGAAAGATTCTGCAATATGAGGAAAGGGGGAATCTGAGGCATCCTTGCGAGGTTTTAGGTCAATTCGTTTTGAAACAAACCTGGGAAGGTACAGTTGGCAAGACCGTTCCAAGAAAAAAGAGGACAGGTAATCCAGCTTCCTTCTCCATTATGAATGAGCAAACTATCACCCTTCTGGGAACAGAACGTTCCAAACAATACAGAACATTCTGTTTTCTTTGAGACTGTGCCAATTTGGCATTCATGGAGGCAGTCCAGTAGTTTTCCAGTGTTCTTCGGTATGTTTTTCCTCTTCTAATATGTCACGTCTGCTTTGGTATGGTTTTGCCTCTAATTTACTGAGCTGAGGAGCAAGCTCCAGTATAATGCCACTAGGATGATCTAGGACAGGGGTAGGCAACCTTGGCTCTTTTATGACTCGTGGACTTCAACTCCCAGAATTCCTGAGCCAGCATGGCTCAGCTTGGAAACCTCTCCCTTTCCCCTCAGCATGGCTGGCTCAGGAATTCTGGGAGTTGAAGTCCACGAGTCATAAAAGAGCCAAGGTTGCCTACCACTGATCTAGGACAATTTAGCTCTTCCAGATATTCGCACAAACAACCTGCCTATTGAAACTGAGGCCATGGGGGTTTTTCTTTTTCCTTTTTCTTGCTTTGCTGGCCACCACCTTGTTACTTCTTTTGCCTCTGCCTTCAATACAGAATATCTTTGCTGTTCTTGCAGAAAATCTGGATACAAGAAAGAATCCTCATCACGAGAAGCCTGGAGCAGAGCAATTCCACGAGCCATTGCGGTGGGCTGTGCGCTTTGATCCCAAACGTTCTGGAAAAATGGAGACCAAATCCAGAAGGTGGCAGGAGTTGTTACCGGAGTTGACCCAAGTTTCTAAGGCCAACAAGAAAATGCCGAGGAGTAGATCCCGATTAGCTGCTACTGCAGCAAGAAAAAAATATACGTGTACTGAGTGTGGAAAAAGGTTCGATCAGCCGTCACAAGTTATTAAGCACCAGAGGATCCACACAGGAGAAAAGCCATTTCTGTGTCCTGAATGTGGGAAGCGTTTTAACAAACAGTCCAATCTTAATGTCCATTTACGTCTCCATCGTGGAGAGAAACCTTATAGCTGCCCTGATTGTGGCAAAAGGTTCAACGCCAAGTATCATTTGCGTGGACACTACAGGATACACACAGGGGAGAAGCCTTATGTATGTGAAGATTGTGGGAAGAGATTCCCTGTTAAATCTTCGCTAAATAAGCACCAACGAATCCATACAGGAGACCCCAATCTGCCCAACCTATCTGAGATCAACTCACAAGGCAATACCGAGGCAGTATTACCAGAAGTGATAGAGGTGTGCGCAGCTCCTGAAACAGAAACAATAGTTGAAACTACCACTAGCAATTCCCCTATAGAGATGACAGTGTCAAACAGGAATTATGTCTGTTCTGAATGTGGGAAAAAATTTGATCGGCCTTCACACCTTACTAAACACCAGAGGATTCACAAAGGAGAAAGGCCATATCCATGTACTGAATGCGGGAAATGTTTCAATAAGCAGTCTAACCTTACTGTCCATTTACGTCTCCATACTGGAGAGAAACCTTATGCCTGTCCTGACTGTGACAAAAGATTTTGTACTAAATCTCATTTGCTTGGACACTATAGGAGGCACACAGGGGAGAAGCCTTATGAATGTGATGCGTGTGGGAAGAGATTCCCTGTTAAATCTTCCCTAAATAAGCACTGCCGAACCCATACAGCAGACCCCAAGCTGTCCAAACCAACTGAGATCACATCAGAAGGAAATACTCAGGCAATATTACCAGAGGTGACCCAGGTGTATGCAATTCCTAAACCACAAAAAATCATCAAAATTATAAGTCAGAAGCCCCCAATAGGAATTATAGTATCAAACGGGAATTTGGTCTGTCGTGAGTGTGGGAAACGTTTTGCTCAGCCTTCACACCTTATTACACACCTGAGGATCCACACAGGAGAAAGGCCATATCCATGCAATGTATGCGGGAAACGTTTTCACCAGCAGTCTCACCTTAATGTCCATTTGCGTATCCATACTGGAGAGAAACCTTATGGCTGTCCTGAATGCGGCAAAAGATTCAACATGAAATCCCATCTACAAGGACATTACAGGATCCACACAGGTGAGAAGCCCTTTGAGTGTGAAGACTGTGGAAAGAGCTTCCGGGTGAAATCTTGCCTAACTAAGCATCAGCAAATCCATACAGGAGAAAAGCCAAATAAATCTCTCTCCTGAGAAGAAAATTCACCTGAACACCAGCCCTCTCTCTCTCTCCCTCTGGGGGAAAAAAAATTGCATATGCTTTGAGTGTCACCCAAACGTTTTGCAACAGATCAGATTTTATTAAGCATGAAAGAATTCACACAGGAAAAAATCCTTGTCTGTGTTGCTGTAAGCACTGGAAATGCCTCACTGATAAATATTTCCATGCAATTTTATATATTTATTTTCCAGGAATTCACTAACAACTCTCTTGCAAATGCTTTTATGGGGCCAGGGGGAAACAGTGTGTGTTTGGAATGTGTCCATCTTCTACAAGCACTGAAGCCTTCTGTAGCTTAAAATGCCTTTTTTAGGATTGGCCCAAAAGAGCTTAGTAAACAGTAGAGATTCGGTGTGAAGGGACTGATGCCATGCTGGCTGGTTTCGATTTTCCTAGGAACATGTGGCACTGCCTTCTAGATAGGTAGGTCTGCACACCAGGGTAACCTGAAACTTAAGTAACCGTTATTGCTGTTCTCAAAGGAAGCTTCACTTGGGACTATGAGAAAAACTTAGATTAATTTTGGATTTGGTTCCCACTCATGCATGGCTATTTTATTGAAGCTTGTCTTGAAATGACATTAGATGCTTCAGAAAAAATATATATTTTCAATCCGGTAGCGGTAAGGCAGAAGAAGCATGCCTTTTGAAGAAGAAACTTGCCTTTTGTGCTCAGCGGGACTCAAAATGAGATGTATGAAATGCGCACAGGTTGCAGGGGGGGGGAATCAAAGACAGGTAGGAATATAGCTTCCACTTCAAGATGCTGCTTCAGAAACATCCGTCGAAAAAGAAAGTCCCCCTCCTGAGTTTTGATTTCTGCCCCAATCTATTTATTCATCCAGATGACTGCATAACCGCCAGGTTCGCCCATCATGCTTAACTGAGTAACTGGTATGATTGGCTCCCACCAATTAACCCTAAGAAAGTCTATTTTTAAATCAGACAGCCCTAGTTGTTTGGAAATCAAGTAGCATGTGTGTGAATGTACTGAACACACAGCATTTAAGTTGTATTGTCTAAGTTGTAGCTGTCCTGTAGTTTAAGTGATACTTCCCCTTTCCATGGCCAAGTTTTAGAGTCAACTTACAAGACATGGGCATTCTAGGCATTCCATCTTTGTGGTTCTTTTGGCTTTCATCATCAGAGTCACATAGAAACAGTCTAGTCCAGTGATTTTCCTCAAGAGAGACTGCACCTTGAAGTGGACATTGTAAAAAGAGAGACTAAGTTATAGGTAGCTATAAACACTGGCTAGAGTTGCCTTGCTGTCTTGTGGGGCTAGTCCCTACAACCTTGTTCTGAAATGCCCTGTTTTTACCTTCAGAAAGCCTTTCAAAACCTGGATTTTCTCTAGGCTTTAGGGCCTGGATATTGTCAGATATTCTTGCCCTGGGATGACGTAGCTTATTCTTTGCCTGGCATCTTGTATTGTTTTTTTCTATTGTTTTTAATGTATGTTTCAAACGTTTTGTTGGTTAGTCACCCAGAGCTATTTGGTAAGATAAATCTACATAATAAACTAATACATGAGCTAACTCTTGGAGGTGATTGTCAATTGATTGCTGAACTTTGACTAACTCATAACCTTTGAGATATGAAATGTCTTGGATGCACTTTGCATCAGATTTTAGACATGGGGCAACAGTCCTGTCTTTTAGGATACCTAATCTACCACGGTTGAGAATCGTAGGTACAAAATAGTACTATGGAATGGAATGTGGGAAAGACCTTGGGAGATGGGACAAAGAGAGGCTGCCTAGAGCAGGGGTAGGCAACCCTGGCTCTTTTATGACTCGTGGACTTCAACTCCCAGAATTCCTGAACCAGCATGGCTCAGCTTGGAAACATCTCCCCCTCAGCATGGCTGGCTCAGGAATTCTGGGAGTTGAAGTCCACGAGTCATAAAAGAGCCAAGGTTGCCTACCCCTGGCCTAGAGAATGTCAGATAAGAAGGAGCATAGACCACAGCTGGATAGTGCGTAAAGCAAGAGACTCAGAAGGGACCCTCCCTAATTTCTCAGGCTATAAAGGAAATGGTGGGAGAACTGTACTTTCATACTTGTAAGCTTCCGTTAATGTAGCTTTACTGGCTGTGCTTCCTGTGTGTCTGCCTGTTAAGGTTGACATCATGCTCCAACCTCTATCCAGCTGCAGGCTGTGCTCTCTCTTATCCGACTATTCCCTGGGTCTGGGGTAGGCAATCTTGGCTCTTTTATGACTCGTGGACGTCAACTCCCAGAATTCCTGAATCAGCCATGCTGACTCAGGAATTCTGGGAGTTGAAGTCCACGAGTCATAAAAGAGCCAAGGTTGCCGATCCCTACCCTTCCAAGGTCTTCTCTGTATACCATTGCATACCAACACAACGTCTCACGAAATTATAAGTCCCAAAGCAGAAAAGGACTTGTACTTTAATATAGCGGTCCCAAACATTTCTGACTTCGCAGACCGGCAGTGGTGGCGGGTGGAGGGGATGATTTCACATGCACAACCTAGCTCCCACACATGCGTAAATGAAGCTTTGCGCACTCGCCCACCACTTGTGTAGCACGGTTCCCAATAAGCTGCAGACCGAGGTTTGGGGACCCCTGAATTAATGCACCTGAATGCCTTCCCTTCTGTTTCAAAAGGAAAGTATAAGAAGATCCTGCATATGAAATTCCTTTGTTGAACTCGGTGTCTTGAGCTGGCTGAGCATGTCCTTGTCTGGTGCCTGCTATATGAAGGCACATTTTAATTATTTCCCCAAAATGCAACATCATCCCCTCCTGAAGTTAGATTGGCCTGGGGTCCTGGATGTTGAATAGACCCCATTTTTTGACTGAATAATGTCTGGCTGCTAAGTATCTTGTTTGCATTTTTGATATTGGGTATTTTATTTATTTTATTGTAAACCCATAGGATCACATAAAAGTGAGATGGGTGGCTATATACAACGAATGAATGAATGAATGAATGAATGAATGAATGAAGCTAACAGGGCATGCTGATGAATGAATGAATGAATGAATGAATGAATGAATGAATGAATGAATGAATGAATGAATGAAGCAAGCTAACAGGGCATGCTGATCAGGTACATTTGCAAATTGAACTGATAGACTTTATTTCCTCAGTAACATCCAAAATGCTTCTTTGTGTGTGTGTGTGTTGTGTTTATAAAACCCATTCCGAATTGATTAGGAAAAAAGACTTAGCAACTTTGGTAAATCTTCAGGTATTATTATATAAACTTTTATTTATTGCAATCTATCCCTAAAATGATAATTTCTTATTTTGGATGTATGGTTTATTTCTACAAAAATTATTTTATATCATTTTACCATAGCATTTATATTTTCTCACATACAGTTTATGTTAGTATTATTCATAGGAGTTGGAGCTGTAATATTTTACAATATTAAGCTACAATATTAAACTTCAGTTATTCAAATGGCTGTAATTTTTATATCCTCATGATTTTATGTTATGCTGGCTATGACTAAATTAAAGACTCTCGTTATTGACTAATTAAAAATCATTCTAGCACAGCCTTCCTGATGATCTCTATTGGTCTAGATCATTAAGAGTTTGGTTAAACCTGATTTAGGAAATAGATTTAGTTCATGTTAATTTAAAGGAGCAAAGTAGCCAGTTCTGTTCATAGCAAAAGGATAGCCATTAATGGCATTTCTTTTTCAAAACTTATTAAATCAGATTTCCCCATGTGATGTCCTTCAGATGTCCTCCATTTGATGTCTTCCACATGTATATACAATTCCCATCTCTGTCTTTCTGGGAAGAAATTGTAATGCAACAGGGACAGCAAATATATGCAATGGTTGCTAGTCCTCAGCATTTATCAGTTCCCATGGAACTGAATAGGTCTCATTTTGCACGTCTGCTTTTATCTGCACAAAATGTTATACACATTGTGCTTCTTGCTTATGACAGGAAAAGAAATAAGAGATAGGAACATCCATGTGTATTTGTTTACTACTACTAAATTAATTCATGTTATATTTTAGTAAGTGTTAATTAGGAGTAGAGCTACTAGATAAAGCCTATTTTTTTTTTCAAAATCTTCTTAGCCTAACTGTCCTATCCTTTCCTCTTGGTCAATGGACGTGTGTGATGTTACAGTCTTCTTTATTCTCCTGTGGAGGAGAGGGAGAGCTCACAATAATACTTATTATGAAGTATTGGTCTCTTCGGGTACTAAGTTACCTCTCAAGGTAAAGCATTGTTCTAACTGACCAATCAAAGGTCAAAGAGTTGGTCCCTCATTTGAATACAAGTCAGTATGTGACAGCAAAGGGAGAGATATTACTAGAGGAATTTATCACTACAAACTTCAGGTGAGCATAAGCACAGAAGATTGAAACTATGGCTATTGTCCAAGCTCAGAAGAAGTTACCGCCTCAGAAGAAACCGAGACAGAAACTGAGACAGAAGAGGAAACAAAGAAGGAATCTGCAACGAAGGAACTTGGCAATCAGTCGAAGGAGGAAGTGTGGCCATCCACCTGACAGTTTTGAGGCTAAGATTTTGCCACCTCTTTTCCTTTCCAAACGAAAGATGCCTCTGTCGATGAAGGGGAATAGAAAGGCAGTCTTTGCACAACAATATTTCCTGGCAACACAAGACGGGGATCAACAGTGCTACCTGAGCAACTACGTGTCCTCCCAAGCCACTATGGGCATCAGTGAGGTGTATCCAGCAACTGTGTGGCAACGTAAGCCCCCTGTGGTGAAATGGCCAGTGACGGTGAGACATCAGCAACAAAGGGCCCTCGCCACCCACTTGTGCCAGGATGGCCCACAACGATATGTCTTCAGCAGTGGCATACTCTTGCCAGTTATCTGTGACAAGAGGGGGAGCAAAGTCTGCACTCTCGCCACTAAAGATGTTCAGTATGAAGTGAATGAGATGATATCCAGGCAGTTCATACCATGTTTGTTTGCCAGGGACCCCAGCATCTCTCCTTATTAGCAGAATCATCACGTCCTTCCTCCTTGGCTGGCC